CCCCCCCCCCCCCCAGCTTGTTGTTCTTTATGGACAGACATTGCACCCCCTGAACTCTGTGGCCCAGGGAAATGTTCTGGCACCAAGCCAACTCCCCTTTTCTCCCCTGGGGCTGTGACCTTCCCACCCAGAGGGGTGCAATCCTGTGCGAACAGCCTGCAGAGCACATGCCAGCTAGCCAGGTCACAAGGCACTGATGGGTCCAGGAATGAGGTCTAGAGAGGGTGGGGGGATGAAGGTAGGGGGCCAGATCAGGTCCCCAAGAGCTGGGGCTTCCTTCCTGGGGCAGGAGCAGTAGCTCCTCCCAAAATACCTTCTCTTACCTCTGCTGCTTCCCAGCCACTCCAGGAAGCATGATCAGCATCTTCCACATCTCAAATCCCAATTTATTTAAACATATCTTCTTTAATTTACTCCCTCTTTATTTTTTTTTCAATTTTTTTTTTTACTTTTTATTTTATCCTTCAGTGGCTGACTTCCTTCATTTCATCACCGTTTCCCTACCCTCATTTCCTTCCCACTTCCAATTTCATTACCCACCCCCATTCCTTTAACTCTCTGCCTCCTTGCTTTATGTTTCTGCCCCCTTCTGCACAACCTATCTCTTATATTCCCCCCACCCCACCTAGAGCAGGGATGTCCTATAGCAATCCTGTGTGGACTTACGAGCCCTGTAGTGACAGCTCACAGCTGTAGCTCTTAGTTAGGCCCCTGCTTGCCAGCCCTCTAATGGCAAGTCACAGCTGTGCAGGTGGGGGACAGACAGAAACTTTTTAGCCTTAAAGTGTGACTATTCCACACCTGAGCTAGCAGTAGCACTGATCAATATTTGAGCAGTTCCAAGTGCAATGTCTAACAAGGCTTCAAATTCACTTTCGTGTGAAAGTCATCTGTGTTCCCTGGTAATCTTACCTGTATGAGGATGGGGACAGGAATTGTGAGTCAAAAAAAAAAATGGGTTTTTATCATTAAAATATAAATAGGAACAGGTCCTGTGCTGCAGCTGCTGTAACTCTTCATGTCTGGAAAAGCAAAAGCTATAACATTAGCATCCCAGAGAAGCCGGAGACTAATCTGTGACTGGATATCCTGTGTTCAGGAATGTTAAATGAAGCATGAAATGAATGATTATGGCTGGTTATATCTTCTATCACTGAAACCATACACTTGACAGTTATACTTAAGTCACATGACACTTTACATGCTAAAAGCATTTTGTAAAAATTACCCAGTGTATTCCCTTCAACACTGATGGAAAAAACTGACAGAGGCTTTTTTTGCCCCAAGTGGTAAGAGGGAGTGAGAGGTAGCAGAAAAACATGGGTTGTGCTGAGACTAGTAGGCTACATCTCTCTCTCTCTCTCTCTTTCAATTCTACATTATTGGTTAGCGTTGTATAGAAACCAAGTAGAACGCGTGTATCAAACATGTGATTGCATTTATCTTAGCATTTGGGGAGCTTTGTAAATAGGTTTATGTTGAGGTGCCACTCATGCCCAAGCCCAGGGGGAAGCTTAGTAACTGAGGTAAGAAGCTTGTATTGAAAATACTGTTAAATGGAGTCCTAGACATTGAATGTCTGCCATACGTGGTTAATTCCTGACTTTGGGGACTGAGCAGTAGCAATCAAGCGTAGAAAGACTGACATTCTTGTAAAGTTTAGAAATGTGAGAGTCCTACCACGATAGGTGTGGAATTCAAACACATTATCCCATCACTCAGCTCTGAGAAACTGAATTCTGTCAAGTCTCACAAAGGTTATCACTAGGGATCCAGGTTTCTCATTTCCCACCCACCCTCTGCCCTGCACACCTCCTACCCCACACACTGGGGAGTTGGGGCCTGGGGCCAGAGGGCAGCGGGTCAGGAATGAGGGGCACTGGCAGGGCCAGGGGGCTGCAGGTCAGGAGTGTGGGGCACCAGCAGGGCTGGGGAGGGTGGGGGCCGTTGGTTGGGAGTGAGGGGCAATGGTATGGGCAG